GCAGGAGGCAAGAAAGTAGAGCCAGGAGGCATTTAGTAAGTTTCATTGTGGAGACAAAGAGAGAAATGACGTTGACTGTGACTGATGGAAAAAGCCATCCAATGAACTTCATGCTTATTTGGAAGAAGGCAACACTCTTCCCTTCTTAGGGGGTACTATGGAAGGAAGCAGGGCCGAGATGGGAGTTAAGTAAGCAGAGCTCACAGACGTCAGACACTGGGCTGGGTTTACTGGTACAATCTCATGGACCTTTTGAACACCCCCAAGGATCATCCCTGTTCTAGAAATGGGAAAGCTCAGTCTGGGGATGGTTTATTTGCTCAAGTCAACACCTTGCAGCAGACCCCAGCATGCGCACTTTTTTCTCATTATATCATTTTCCACTAGAGAAGACTGCAGTGCCTTTCTCTAATCAGCCAAGAAGTAAGAGGCATAAAGAAACAAACAAGCAGGTGTTGTGAGTTAGTAGTTAAGCCCCCACTTGGATGCCAACATCTCCTCTGAGTGTTGGTTCAAGCCCTGGCTGCTCCACTTGAGATCTGGCTTTCTGAGAATACAGCAAAGATTGGCTTAAGTGGTTGGGCCCTTGCCATCCACGGAAGACCCAGCAGTATTCAGGCTTCTGGTTTCAACCTGACCCAGATAAAACTAATAAACACTGTGTGTGTGTGTGTGTGTGTGTGTGTGTGTGTGTGTGTGAGAGAGAGAGAGAGAGAGAGAGAGAGAGAGAGAGAGAGAAAGAGAAAACAAGCATGTGTGTGTATATATATGTAAGAGAGGGCAAGCATGTGTATACATTTATATATACATAAACAAATAAGCAAAAGGTTTGCAGTAGCAGAGAAGTGGCAGGTGTTTCTATCACACCCACTCTGTTTTCATGAAGCTATGAGTCAGAATGCTCAAGTGTAAGTGAAAGAAAGAGGAAGCCAGAGGGGCTGAGAGGCAGAGGGACTCTGAGTAACTGCACAGGATGAGGGTCAATAGGCAGCTAGCCTGGCACAGGGATAGAGACAGATAGGAGATATTTCATCACCTGGTTCAATCCCCAAATGCCTGCAATAGCCAGGATTGGACCAGACCAAAGTCAGGAGCCTGGAACTTTCTATCTTCCACATGGATGGCAGGGACCCAAGTATTTGAGCCCCACACAGCTGTCTCCCAGGGTGCACAGCAGCAGGAAACTGGAATTGGAAACAGAGGTGGGATTTGAATCCAAGAACTCTGAAACAGGCTCTGAAGTGCAGGCATCCCAGTTCGTGCCTTGACGGTCAAATCTGTGCACCCTGAGAAAGCTGAGCCTCTGCTGAGAAAGTTGAGCTTCTGCTGGGACTTCTCTGTGGCAGGATTTCAGTGGCAGGCCTGGAGATGTTAAGAAGTCACACAAAAACCCTTCTGAATTTAGCTGGAGAGATCTGCACAACCCAGGGTTCCGTCAGGTAATACAAAGGGTTATGAGCCCCAAACCACATGTCAGGGGAGAATGCAAAACCAGCCTGCAGCTGGCTTGTCTGACCCCACTTCTCCCACTTGCTTACTCAAGTCACGTGTACTCCCAGCCTTGGGGGCAGGGTTGCCATTCTCATATGAAAATAACCTAAGCCCTTGACTCAAAAAATAACATGTTCATTTGCATGGTGGTTTTGAATTTCTTATTTGGATTTAATATCTAAATGATGACATTCATCTGCTGGACTGATTTAAGTGGCTCAGGGCTTGTACTCATTAAACATCCTGTGGGGGTGTGCTTTGGTACCCCCAGATATACTTCCGCTTTGTGCAGTTTGCTGTCTTACCGCCTCCTCATCTCCGACTCCAGCCATGAATTGACTCTTGGACATATTTGGAGTAAAAGGGTACAAAACCAGCCTCCCAAAACCTGGTTTGTGAGAGGATTCCCCAGCAGAGCTCACACGTTGATCCTTGCTCTGCCTGGATTTCAGGGTCTCCACTGGAGGCAAAAGCCCTGCCTTGAAACTCCCAAAGCTATATTAGGGCAGCAGGTAGGGAGTGAGAGGTTTGAGAGGTACCTGTGACCAAGGCGTTAACGCGCACACAAAGGCATTGATCATCCTTTAGTTATGGTTTATGAATACTGACAGATAAGCACCAAATGTGCACAGGCACGTGATGCCAGGAAAATTAATGTGTGCTTGTTCCAGGCCTCTGCTTTCTCATACAACAACTGGCTGATCACCTCTATGGGCCTGGGAACCCCAACCTTGAGGATCCATGGAGTTCATGACCACTCAGTTTTCAATCCCAGCTCCAAGACTCAATGGTTGGGACTGGCCACACACTGACCCGCTCCGTGCCTCCATTCGTCATCTCAGGCAGGACTGACAGTAGCACCTGCTGCTCAGGGTTGTTGCAAGGAAGTAAAGAGTTAGAACTTGAAAGCATGTCAAGTGGCACGTGATGAAGGGAGCACACACTCTCATTGTTGGTAAACACCTCAAGAGCCCCTCCTCTCAGGGCCATGAGCAGCTTGGACCAAGAATCTTGCTGCTCCACTAGCTGCAGCTCCCAGGAGCCTTGCTGGGTCCGTTCATCCATTAGTCTCCAACCCACATCTGGCAGCCAGGGAGGCTAATGCTCAGGCCGATGTGGACAGGGTCGTAGCTACCAATATCCGTCAAAGCGCTCCTCTGATGCAGCCCTTCAGATCCACCCGGTGTGTACCCAGTAAGACCGTTAACACTGGGTGTGGCTACGTCTCATGCCAATAACTGATGATCTTGGAGTTCTGTCCTACCTCCCTAACTTGATTAACTATTTCGTAAAAATATTTTATTGGAGACTAACATGAAAGTGTTTTTTTAAACCTTAACTGATGTGAGAAGCAGACGCACACAAAGAACTCCAGTTGCTGGCTTATTAAATGTCCAAAACCCCAAGGTCTGGGTCAGCCAACACCAGAGCTTGAGCTGAAAGTCAAGCTGGGTCTCCCAGGGAGGTGGCAGGAAGCCCCTCCCCTGAGCCATCACGGCTGCCTCGCAGGGTCTGCATTCGCAAGAAACTAGAGTCAGAAGCACAGCAGCATCAAACTCGAGCACCCACATGTGAGATGTAGGCATCTTTCGTTGTGGTGGTGGTGGTGGTTTTTTACTTTTATTAGTATTTTCCATAATAAGGTTTTATAGGTACAAGGATTTGCCCCCACCTTCCCTTCTTCCCTCCCCATTCTTTCCCCCAGTCGCCATTTTCCCCCATAGTATTACAATAGTACAGTCCTTCAGCAACAGTCAGAAGTCCAACATTCTGCTGTTTATATGTATCATGACATTGTAGGTATAGGCAATGGTAGAAAAGCTGGTATCATATTGTCAAGGTATAGTTAACAGCTTCCTTCATTGGGAGTCCTGCTTTTATTCCACCATTTTATTCCTGATTTCATTTATTTGTTTTGTATTTTGCTTGAGTGTTGCCTTATGTCAAAGAGAACATATGATAGGGCCTGGCACGGTGGCCTAGCAGCTAAAGTCCTCGTCTTGTACACGCCAGGATCCCTTATAGGCGCCGGTTCTAGTCCTGGTGGGCCCACTTCCCATCCAGCTCCCTGCTCGTGGCCTGGGAAAGCAGTTGAGGATGGCCCAAATCCTTGGCACCTGCTTGGGAGACCTGGAGGAAGTTTCTGGCTCCTGGCTTCAGATCGGCACGGCACAGGCCCTCGCACTCACTTGGGGAAAGAATCATCGGGTGGACGATCTTCCTCTCTGTCTCTTCTCCTCTCTGTATATCTGACTTTGCATAAAAATAAGTAAATCTTAAAAAAAAAAAAAAAATAGCGCTCTTTAAAAAAAGAACGTATGATATGTATTCTTTTAGGATTGGCTTATTTCACCGAGCTTAGTTGTCTCTCCATTTAGGACCATTTTGACAAATGGTAGAACTTCATTCTTTCTAATGGCCAAGTAGCATCCCATGGAATAGCTTTGCCTTTAGATGGGGTTGAAGGTCCCTGTCTCACATGCAGATTTCACTTCCTTTATATGTATTTTTTCCAGGAGTGGAATAGCTGGGTCATACGGTAGATCAGTTTTCAATTGTCTTAGCACTCTCCATACTGACTTCCACAGTGGCTGCACTACTCCAGTAGTGGAGTAGGGGACCTTTTTCTTCACATCCATGTCAACAGGTGTTAAAAGATTTCCAAATGTAGGCCAATCTCACTGCAGTTACATGGAACCTCAATGTGATTTTTACTTGCATTTCCATAATACCTAGGGAATCTGAGTATTTTTTCATGTCGCTTTTGTTGATCGTTTCCTTTGCTGTACAGAAGCTTCTTAGTTTGATGTAATCCCATTTGTTTGTTTTGGCTTTGACTGCTGGTGCTTTTAGTGACTTTTCTAAGAAGTCTTTACAAATGTCTGTGTCTTATAGAGTGCTTCCTATGTTTTCCTCTAATAGTTTGATTGTTTCTGGGTGTAGAATTAGGTCCTTGATCCAGTTAGAGCTGATTTTAACTTTTAGGTCAAATACCCACCAGCCCCATAACATGAATGTGGAGTTAAAGTTGGGTTCTCAGGCAGCCCACAGTGGCAGGTATTGAAAGCAAGCTCCAAGGGGATGTCTGTTTCACGGATTTGCTTTTCCCTTGGACACATATAAGAATACTTCGAAATGTTCAGAGGAAACCAAAATTGAAAAGTGAATTTATTCATGTACCAAACAACGTTGGGCATCCACCCCATATTTTTTTTCTCAGACACGTTTTCTGTGAGCTTTCTTAAGACCTCTCAAGTTGCTGTGGACAGGTTCTCTTGAGGGATTTGACTTCCGATGTTGGTTATTGTCTCTGGTTTGATATCTGTTTCAAAAGAAAAATAAAAGTGTTCCCTTCCCAGAGGCAGCTTTTCTTGTCTGAATTTGGATTTTGATTTAGTATCTTCACTTTTGTGTTCTAGAACAGTGCTCCCAGCCAGGTGATCAGCAGGAAGAAAGGGAAAGTGCTGTTAGGCTCATGAAAGTTTGCTTTTTTTTTTCCCCCCCCACAGTGTTCCTTCCTGCCGAAATTCTCCATTCATATAGAAACCAAGTACGAGGACAACAAAGGAAGCAACGACAGCGTGAGTAGCTCCCCTCCTTCCACTCAGCACTCGCCTTCACATAGCCGTGTGTGCCACAGTCACGGTCTGGCCTTGGGTTCCTGAGGATAATTCCATAGGGACTTCTCCATGGTGTTGTTTCATGGTTTGGGTTTTTTCTAATCAATGATATAGATGTTTAGTGAACCACTGTACAGAAATCTCTGGAACCTGCCTTGATGGGTCCTTGGAGGTGGAGAGGATGATGGAGAACTTCAGAATGCCATGGTTCGATTTTCAGTTGTAGGACTGAGCACATGCCTTCTCAATGGCAGTAATACTTACCAGAAACAGGGGATGTGGTTAAATATACAAGGATACTTTAAACAAATCATGCAAAATGGAATGTAAGGGTGACTTCAGAGCAAGTGTTTGGCACAGATATTAAGGCCTCATTTGGGATGCTTCTATCCCATAGCATTATGCCTGGGTTTGAGTACCAGCTCCACCCTGATTCCAACTTCCTGCTGATAGCTACCTTGGGAGGCAGCAAGTGATAGCCAAAGTGCTTGGGAAGCACTAACCGCTAAGATCACCCACAGGGCCACTCCTTACCTCTGCTGTGCATCCATCTTGTTCAAGTCCCACCATCACGGGAGAGACTTCACGTGTCCCCACCCCAGCCTTTTCCCAGCTCAGTTCTCTAGCTCCCCCAGCTCCCCAGAGCTTGCTCCTGGGGCCCGTGGGCCTCAGGCCCAGTCACAGCCTGATTTTCTTTGCCAGTTCACTTCCTAATTTACATATTCAGCAGCAGCAGGTGGTTGCCCAGCTGGCTCAGCATCCCAGGGAGGGAGAGAAGGAGAGCGTTAATGTTTTCCATCCCACTTACTAGTGCTTCAGAATCACGACATGAGAAATATAAACTTGCCTGATAATTCTTTCCTTATTAAAACATAGCTTTGTCCAGCTATGCATTCAAGCCAATGGCATGTGCTGACGTGTTTTTCTGTCCAGAATTGAGTGTAGAGTTTTGGATGGGAGGCATAGTGACTCAGCAGTGCAGTGGTAGAGACTCATCTCACCATGTTTCCAAACTACTTAATAAACTCAGATTATGTCTTGTGTATTTTCTGGGTATATCATCATTCAGCTACCATCTTTCATACTAATGTCTACATTGTTTCCTCCACCACTTGCTAAAATTTAATGACTGTGATGTTGATAAGAAATAATATCTTGATTGAAAGTAATCATCCTATTGATTATTGTTGAATGTCCTATTATTGTTGTTGTCCTATTATCAGTTACCATGTTGGTAAATTTTTTTTTGCATAACCCAGTATCTAGTTTTTTAAAAAAGTATCAGGATGACTAAATATAAATGTATTCTCTTTGTTATAAATAAAAGTTGTGCGTTTATGATTGTGGAAACCTGCAAAATATGATTACATTAGCCAAGGGCACAGTGGGGAAGTTGTCTTGAGTTGAGGCACATTTATTTTATGTGCATACTGATGAGAATTACTTAGGACTTAATTAGTGCTGGGGAGGGTGGCATAATGCCAGGGGAAGATTCTGTTGTCTGGCCGAGGCTATAAATCTAGACCTGGGAGAGTCGGAGCTTTGCACTGCCTGGTCCAGCAGAAGGAGGAGCTGCTGGTGTGTGGTACCTGTTGCCAGGTGACAGGTGTTCAATGAAGCTAATAAGGAGCAGTCTGACACTTATTTCTTCTTCCAAACAAAGCTTGCACCCCTCTAAGCAGTAGCTCTTGACCTTGACTGCACATTGCACTCACCTGAGAAGCTTTCGCAGCAGTTCAAGCTGGGCCCCTTCTCCCCTGGGATTTTGATTTACTGTTGTTGGTCCTGGATGCACATCCCTCAGCCAGCCAGCCAGCAGACATGAAAGATGGAACACCTGCTTCCAGAATGCTGGATTCTTCAGCTGGGAGTATGCACAGCAAAAGAGAGTGTACCCTTGGGCTCAGTTGATGCATTCCTGGAGAGGACCTAGAGTATGCCTTCCCCACCCAGGGGAATATTCAGACCAGCATTGTCAATCATGGCTGCACAGTCAAGTGACCTGAGGGTGGTGTTGACCTAGCTGTTAAGATACCCATGTTCTAGATCTCAGTACCTGGGTTCAATCCCCAGTTCTGGGTCCTAACTCCACCTTCCAGCTTATACACACACTGGAAAGCAACAGTGATGGTTCAAATGATTGGATCCTTGCCACCCAGGTGGGAGACCTGAATTGAGTTCTTGGCTCCCAGTCATTATAGGCATTTCAGGAGTCAACTGGTAAAGAGATGCATTCTCCAGTTCAGTCCCCCTTTCCCTCTCTGGTTCTGGCAAATAAATAGGTAAATTAAACACATGAAAACATCACCTGGGAAGATTCCTGTGTCACCTCCCCCCCCACTGAATTCTGATTTCATTCATCTGGAATAAGGGCCAAACATTGGGTATGATTGAAAGGAGAGATTTTCCATCCACTGGTCCCCTCCCCAAATGGTCACAGCAGCCAAGTCTGACCAGACTGAAGCCTAGAGCTAGGGTCTCCATTCTTGGGCCTTTTCTGCTGCCTTCTGAGTTGCATCAGCGGGGAACCAGAACAGAAGTGGAGCAGCTAGAACTCAAATCAGTACCCTAATATGGAATGCTGGCATTGCACATGGCTTTTAATCCACTGTGCCACAATGCCAGCCCTTAGCATTAGGATTTTCAAAACTCCCACAGGTGAGTCTAAGGAGTGACAAAGCTAAGATTTAAGAACCCAGGCTCTCCCAAGATCTTCACTTCTTCATCCTCCTGGAAATTGAAGTGTTGGTGAAATGTGTTGGTAACTGCCACCCCATCCCCCACTCATGTGGTCAAAAACCTTAGGGCAGAGTGTATGTTCTCCTTCGTCACGTGTTGGCAAGGACCATGCCCCTCCTCAGGGCAAAGACACACACCACCCCGCAACAATATGGGAAAAACTTCCAGTTCTTTCCAGTTCCTGGAAGCACACAGCTCTATCTTTCCCAGAGCTCTCCTCTCAGAGGCTGCCTAGAAGAGGTTTCTGGTTTCTGACTCACCCATGTTGTCGTGCAAGAACACGTCGCCATTCTTGTTGAGGCAGTACCATCCATCAGTACTGCCCCTCAAGCACCGTAACCCTAAGCCATCCTCTTAACTAGTCGGCGTCTCAGCCCCTTTATCAAGAGAAATCGAATCAGTCGTGCTGGTGCCCAAGTATGGAGTGTTCCCAGAGGCTGGCTTTCCTGCAGGCACTCCATGAAGTGTAAAGTGCACTACAAGTGTTAGCGGCCGGGGCTGTGATGGGTAGATGCGTGTTCATGATGACTGCCTTAGGCCACTCTGCATTGTCAATCAGCCATGTGTTGTTGGCTCTTGGAGTCTTGAGCACATACCACATGCCAGCTATTATGGGAAATCCTGAGGATATGACTGTAAGGAAGCCAGACTATTGTCCAGCCCTCATGGCGCGAGGGAGACCAAATAAGCAAACAGAACGACAGTGGTGGTGAGTACCTAGAAAGCAGTTCTGAGCCAGGAGGAACTCGCTGGCAACAGGTGATCAGGTCAAGATGGCAATTCCATGGCAGACGTGAGTATGGGACCCAGGCAATCAATGCCAGGGTTAGCCAGGCTGAGGCACTGGTATGGACTGAGATGTGCTCCCACCCCCATCATTCAGATTCAGTATGACGAAGCACTAAGAATGGGACTATGTTTGGAGATAAGGCCTTCAAAAGGGCGACCAAGGAGCAATGAAGTCAGCATAGTGGCCTGTGTCTTGGGGAGAAGGAACACGTGACACATAATGAGATGAGGGGGATCACGTGTACACAGGATGTTCATACCAGAACACAAGCCAAAGAAAGAACCCTCAGGAAAAGCCAACCTTGCTGAACCACTGTCCCGCTGGTAAGCCACTTCCCCCTGGAAGTTGCCCGTGGACACAGAGGGCGGTTCACGTGTTAGTTATTGATGATTTGTTATTCTCCCAGTCCTCATGGTGTCTGACTCAAGATTCATGTTTATGACATCAGAAGGGTGATGTGGAGAGATGAGAGGTAAAGCCGTTGATGAACACATCTGGAAATGTACCCAAGTTAATGCACCGACCGGGGGGTGCCTGTGACAGCTGTGGAATCCATACTCAAAGGCCCCTGGAGCCGGTTATCTTTTCCTTAAATGGCTTCTGATTGAAGATTAGAGGAAGAAAAAAGCACCTGCTTTATTTTTAGACGTGATCTCTTCTGTCTTCAACTTTTATGGTTCTGTTTTTAACCTTAGATGATTTGAAGCAGCCACCTACAGAATCAGCAATTTTCTCTAATAAGTCGGTACATGCTAACAAGAAGGCTGCACAAAACACTCCAATTTGCAGTCTGCAAGGATGATTATCCATTTGGGTCGTGAAGTGGAAAGCCAGCATCCTCACTCAATCTTTGTCTAATGGTATCATTTTGAGGACAATGGAGAGCGGATCGTGTTTGTTTCCTTAAGACACGGCCATGGCTATTTGTGGTACCGTTTGGGATCTGACAGCTGGGATGTGAGCGACACAAGAGGAGCAGGGCCTGGGGTGTGTCACAGGGCTGCCTTTCTGATGGCGGTCACGGGCGCCGTACCTCTGTTGGAAGAAGTTGGACATGACACCTGTAATCCTGACACAGCTTCACGTCCTGTTTGCCTTCTGGCTGGGCCTGGTTCACACGGCCTGGGAGGAATTCATAACAAACTGCTTAGGCTGCTGCGTTAGTACCAAGGGTAACCTTTTAGGTAACGTCCTGATCTCTATTAATGAAAGAGAAAAAATAGTCTAATCATGGCTGGGATCGGTGTTTTGATGATTCGATTCATCCAAAAGGTTTCTAAGAAGCAGAGGTTTTATTAACTCATGTTGTAGCCACATTAATTCTCAGAAAATCCATCCCGAAAATGTTTTGGAAAAAAGAGATGTGATATCTACCATGTTCTCTCAAATGTGAGTGACAAAACAAACGGGGCAAATGCTCACCATTGGAGAA